GTGCACATCTGGAGCCAATCGACGGACCCCAAATTACTAAATCCTGCCACAGACCGATTCACTCTACGTGAGATACATATTCTGAAAGCTGGACAAAAACTGCATCGATTACAATATAATTTGATAGTCCATGACACTTGTGTACACATCTAGATCTGCTTTACGGACCCAAAATTACTAAATCCTGCTACAGGACGATTCGCTGTTAGTGAGATACAGATTCGGCCACCCCACGACTTGGCGAGTCTAGACTCGGAAAGCTTGATAAGATTTGAAGGACAAAAGTGTACTTTTTGACATGGCTGAACTTGTAACGACGATACCGTCCGATGTAGGTCGAATCCAGCTACGTGCTATATAAATTCGGACTCCCCTTGTCTCAACTAATCTAGTATAGTATCGTCCGTATCCGGAAAATGTCTTAATCCGGATTTTCTCATATCCGGATGGTCAAAAAATAAAAGATAGCATTCCTCGTGGTGCATCTTGTCGCAAATTTTTGAATGGATAGGGTACGTAAAACCGGAGATAAACGCGTTTTACGTCAAACGTCGAAAAACTAAACGCGTTTAAAACGTGAACCAGGTGGCCTAAACTATCAAATTTTTCTGTATGGCTTTGTACAGTGTCTGTCTACAACATATCAATCGGGCTCTGGTGAGTATTATCTCTGGCAGGTTTAATAAGATGTCGAAGGTAAAACTGCGAAACGTTATACTTCCGGTCATGTCACATGAAGTCCGGTCCTTCCATTGGATTCTGCTCGTCATTCTGCACCTGGACCCGAAGAGCCAGCTTCCAAGAAAAGTCTCCTTGTTTGACTTTTATCGAATTTAAGGAGTTTGAGGGACCTAAAACGGGCAACCTGTCGGGTCATACTTGGTAACTGTATAAGTCAGTGGTTTGGTTTGCCCCGCTTTTCCTGGGTCGTAGTATCGAGCTGCCGTTTTAGGTTAGATGTAAGGCAATTCAAAAAAGCTTTTTGGACGGGTGGCGTCGACGTTACTGTCCTGGGGCCTGAGAAAATGGTACAAGTGTCCACATACAAACGTCAAGCTTAAATGACGTATTTTTAATATGGCTGGTCTGGTACCCCGGGTCCAAATTGTAGCTGATACGGCACGGTAAATGGGGACTAGTCGTAACATGCAGTCGGGTAACTCGTTGTTCTTCATTCCTAAATTTATTATTTTGTAAGCTGAAATTAGCGTGTAAGTGTACAGAACGCGTAAATTGAGAGAGGTGTTGTCAGGCATTTCTGGCCCTGTCGGAAACTCTGCACATTTCAGGGTAGCGCCGCCGGTTCAAACCCCAATCGCGCAAGCTATTATATTTTTTTACAGCGACTCTGATATTTTTCTGTTTCGGTAATAGGACTGGTCTGTCTCTGCTAGAATGTTGATCAGGAATGCAGGTAAAGATTCATTGACACGTTGGAGGATCTTTGTATCCATTAAATCTATCGAGCCTGGTAAGCAGGCAGTGCTGTATAAAGACAAGCAGCTTGAAAGATATTAGATATTTGTCAACTATAATAAAAAGCTAATGTGTTTTTTAACAAAATGTTCTAAACAATTTTGCATATTTTTATCTTGTATTTTGTAAAA